AAAGCTCCAAACCTTGCTGTGTGATCTGGCTCTGAGGGAAGAAATGGCTCCAGGCGCTGCTGCTCCCTTCCTCCTTCCCTGGTGGAGGGAACAGCAGCACATGGATGTGCTGCCTAGAGGCTTTCCTCACTGCTCTCCTTGGCTGGATTCCGGCCAATGGGAGCACCAGGAAGTCATGTTACATGGTGCCTGGGAGAGGTGCGGACTGTGAAGGTAGGTTAGTACTCCCTTCATCTCATGCCCAGGCCCTGCACCTCACCCCCTTCACACATACACACCGAGACCCCGCATCTCCTGCACTCTCCTCCCAGTCCACTCTTGCCTCCTACCTCCCGCCTAGACCTTGTACCCACACTCCCTCCTGCCCCCCCACCTCCTGCCCAGATCCTGCACCCTTATCCCACTCACTGACAGCCTGTCCCGCACACTGAATCCTTCATTTTGGCCCCACCCCAGAGCCTGAGTTGGTCCACCAAATTCACTAACTCCAGAACCCCAGAAGGGAATTAATCTGGCCTCTGGGAATCCCTGAATCTCAGTCCTCCCTGTCCTACTTCTCCCCCCATATGGGGCTGGAGTGCCAGGGGAATGAGGTGTTTCAGTTGGGGGCCACATCAGTGAGGGTTGGGGGGGTTTGGAAAGGTTTTCATTTGTTTGTTTTTGCTTCTCACTTGTGTGGTCCCTGACTGATTTTACTGTGGGTCAGTGGCCCCCAACCCAAAAAAGTTCCCTCCCCCTGCCATAAATAAAGACAATGTTTTGTGTTGGACATAAATTAATATTTTACTTTATTTAAAATGAAGTTTGATAAACTAACATGAGAAAGTTAAAGCACTTAATCTGTTTAATAATTTCAATTAATACTTCCTTTCTTACTGGTTGAATTAAACCATTCTTCCTAGCCACAGCACTAGCAAGATGGCTCGGGCATGATTATATAATTAGCAGCTAGTTTCCATTAGCTGCTGGAGGTCTGCAGAAAGGTTTACCTTGAGCCATGTGGGCCATGAGCCAAAAAAGTTTGAGAACCACTGTCCTAATGTATCAGCAAGAATGTAAGCAGCTGTGAGCTAATGGGCCTGATTTTCAGAAGTGCTGGATTACTTGCTGTTCCGATTCAAGTCATGGCAAGTAACATCTGTGTGTGCTCACATAGGGGAAATAAAATTTCACCTGAAGAAAAGTCTATCTAATATTAGATGAATCTTAATACCAAAAAGTCCAGGGTTAGTATTTTTTAAAGTACTTTACCCCCAAAAAATTCAGTCTAATTCCTTTAAAAGCTTTATTACCTTTTAAAAGGCTTTTTTGATTCTGAAATGGTTTGTGCCTGTTTAGACTGATTATAGAAACATGTACTTAGATCCTTAATATCAGCATTCAAAACCTGTTTTTAATAGTTTACATTGTAGTTCTCTTTACTAAGTAAGCTTTCAAAAATAAATAGTTTAAAAACTTGCATTTATGTTTCACTTTTTCTGACATTTATGAATCACTCTAGCTGCTTAAAAGGAATTTTCTTCTCTTCATTTTTACTCCACCTAAGTTAAGAGCACCTTTTCTGTCATACAGCCTTATGTAGTTTCCCCATAGGGATGTATAATAGTGTTCATCAAAGTGAAAAAAGAATCACACAGTCATTTTATTTACTCATTTAAGACAATAATGGTGCTTATAGCTATCCGGACACACTTTGGTTTCTCTAAATTGCGCATAAATTGCTGGAAAAAATTGTCAGTGTAGATTGCAACCTTAAAAAAATATAAAAAATCGAGGCATAGATGTATGATAGTTATTGTCTCATTTAGTGTTTGTGGGCATGTTGCCACTTTGAGCAGAAACTATTGCATTAGATTTGAAATAACATTAGCAACATTACTTGCAAAACGGAAGCCTTAATTACATAATAGATTGGAGTGATACTATAAAAGTATTAATTAGATTTTAAATAATGTATCGATCCAGTTCTCTGGGCACATACAATTAATACAGAAACAATTATCAGAGGGGTAGCCGTGTTAGTCTGAATCTGCATAAACAATGAGAAGTCCTGTGGCACTTATAGACTAACATTTATTGGAGCATAAGTTTTCATGGGCAAAGACTAACTTCATCAGATGCATATAGTGGAAAATCCAGAGGCAGGTATAAATATACAGGCATATGAAAAGAGTACCAATCAAGAGTAAGGCTAGAGATAACGAGGTCAATTCAGTCAGGGAGGATGAGGCCCACTTCTAGCAGCTGATTGGAGGTGTGAACACCAAGGGAGAAGAAACTGCTTTTGTAGTTGGCTAGCCATTCACAGTCTTTGTTTAATCCTAAACTGATAGTGTCAAATTTGCAAATGAATTGCAGCTCTGCAGTTTCTCTTTGAAGTCTTTTTTGACGTTTTTTTTTTTTTTTTGTTGCAGGATGGCTACTTTTAAATCTTCTACTATGTGTCCAATAGAACACTTCAGTCTCCCTGGACACACAATAGCAGATTTAAAAGTAGCCATCCTGCAACAAAAAAAACTTCAAAAACAGACTGAAATAAAATCTTATATTGTTTAATGGCTGTACTTTCACTAATTTTTTGGTTTCACAAATGCTTGTATGAATATGATTGTGGTCTCTCTTCATTGTCAGAAATGTTTGTGTTGCCATGTCTTTTGCTTTATCAAACAAGATCTTACCATCAACAGCTCATAATTTTGCCCCTACCATCATCTGAGCCGGGATGGATAATAATTTTCCCCAGGGGCCACTTCAAAAATTTTTGAAGTAGCTCCCGGCCACCCCGGAAGGGGCAGGACCTAAATGGGAAGGGCAGGGCCTAAACAAGAAGAGGTGGAGCTACCGCACCCCCAGACCATGATTGGTCTGGGAGTGGGGAGCGCCTTGGCCCCCCTTTCCCACTAGGTTAGCCAACAGCCTGGGGACTAAGGGGTTAACTATGTCCCTTACCTAACCACATAGCCAGCAGCCAATAGAAATGTAGGTAGGAATTTCAAACTGGGACAAAGGAATTTTGGGGTTTTCCCTCCTTTGTCCCTGGGCAGTTTCTCTCCAGATACTGAAGGGGACAGACAAAATGTCTCTCTCCAGGAAAAGACTCTTCACTATCTGTAAGTAGGGTAAAGTTTAGATAAATCTGTTAGGTTTCATTGTTTTATTGTTTGGGAATGGGAACCTGATGTCTGTGCATTTAAAAATGGGTTTTCCTCTCTTTTGTAACTAAGTTTTTGGCTCAGGGGAGTCCCCCCAGGAGTATATTAATTGGTGACTTTTCCATCTTGTCAGTATGCTTGTAATAGGAGTATTGTGGTGATAATAAAAGTTCTTTCTTTTTTATTAACCTGGTATTGGTTAATTTTTGTGTCCTGGTTTTACTTTAGGGCTGAGATTTCCCAAGTGATCTCTTCCCTGGTTGTTCTTACCATTACTTGGGTGGTGGCAGCAGATTTTTACCCCCAAAATATAGGTTTTTAAGATTTTGGGGGGAAACTTTATACCAAAGCCTGGAAAGATAAGATTTTGGGATACTTTTGCGAGCCCCCACTTCTGCATTCATCATGCCAGAGTGGGGAATCAGCCTTGATAACACCCAAGAACGTTCTGTCTCCTTCAGAGATGAGCTTTGCTCTTATGGTTGTGAATTCCAGCGAGCCAGAGGAATGGAATTGTCGACCGGTTTTCTTCCCATAGCCTTAGAAGCTTATTTAGATACCCAGGGCCCATGACAAGGACAGACCCTGAACACTCCCCTCCCCCCGGGGGCTGCTGGGCCTGGAGGCAGGGGAGCATGCGAAGCCTCCTCCACTCTCCCCCCCACTTTGAAGCACCACACGCTGCTTTCAGGATGGTGGCAAAGCGGAGAAGGCTTCGGATGCTCCCCCACCCTCAGGCCCTAATATGTTATACATATTTTACCTATGTCATTGAATTTTCTATTTCTTCCTCTAGCACAGACAATATTTTATTTTTCCAACTGCAGTTTACTTGGTAGTACCAAGTGGTAAAGCAATAAACCAAAATTTGAAATGAGTGCATAAAATCAGGCTTCTACATTTATATTCAGGCACCTCGATTTTCCATGATTCTGAGTAGACAAAGATCCATTTGTGAGTGGAAGCTGAAAAAGTTTTGCCCTTGAAAAATCATGCCACTTTGAGGATCAATCTAAAGCTCACTCTAGTGTTTCCTCTGGCTCCAGTGGCTAGGCACCAATGTCTGATTCCCAGATACCAAACGTTGAGCCCTTTGGTTTTTATAATTAACACAGGAGATGATCCTGAGAAGCCTGTAAGCGTGTTAAATTCAGTGAGTGAAACTGATCTGTGTGAAGGAGCGCGTTGGTAGTCTCTCTGTGTAAAGGCTGGGCATTTCCCACAGTGGTGCCAATGCAATTTCTAAAAGTCATGGGGAAAAAGCCTTGGTGCCAGCCTTCCCTAAGACGGTGTACTACATCACGTTACTGATACATACTGGGGTGCCAGATATTCATTTACATAGGTCCATTGTCCCTGACACTTCATGCATCTGACATGGAGGGGTGCTAGTCACTCTTTCAGCCTGTTGGAACAGCAGCCACATCGCAGCCGCTCATCAATCTACTGTGGGCTCGGAATGGATTTCATTTCCCCAGCTGCTTCACACCCGGAACTCTGACATTGCACCCAATGGAGTTGCAGGGGCTTGGTACATCTCACCATCAGGGCCCAAGTATTCATATTTTATAACATCTTTGTGTCATGCATGCATATCCAGTTCATGTATCCCCGTGATTTGTATTTAAAAGAGACAGATGAGTTAGTTTAGTAACATAGTATGTTTTCAAGTATATCCTATTTAAATTGAATCATCAAGAAATTAAAGTTAATAGTAATTTTTAAATGTTGTGTTCAGATGTTTGAATTCAGTATTTTGCAAATAAATATTTCAGCAGTTAATAACCAAATGCTACATCGATTTTCAATTCATAAAGTGTATAAGTAAAGAACTATCATTATTCACAGCAAACTGCATTCAGCGAATGAGAAGAACACCTCTGCTGGATGAACTGCAGCCTCCCCCGTATCAGGATGATAGTGGTTCTCCTCACCTCTCTTGTACCCCCTCTGAAGTTGGTGACAATAAATGTGAATTTTCCCACTGTAGCAACAGTCCAAGATGTTCATACAAGTGCCCAAGTGAAGGAAGCACTGGTCATGAAATAGAAAGCTTCCATAACAAAGGATATGAAGAGGATGTACCCAGTGATAGCACAGCTATCCTTAGCCCAGAGGTAAATAAAATACAGTCTAGCACTACATTTGTAGGCATCTTGGATGTAACATAATAGTATTTTAACTTCTCTGGTAGATATTATAAATTTATAAATGTCTTGCTTCTAATTTACATCTTGCAGAGTCTATGTTAAATGTAAAGCTCCATTATAAAAAAGAAAAATGTATATTGCCAAATAGTATAGCAATAAGACTTTTAACTTGCTATGTATAATGACACTTCATTTTAAAGCAATCCCCCACCAAGAATGGCTTATTTTCTAAACCAGTAAAAAGCTCTGATAGATATTATAATCATGGGGAACTATGTGTTAACAATTTGCTTCTCACAAAAGTTTTCAATTAAAAATTTAGCAATAAATCAATCAAAATTATATTTCTCTTAGTGCCTTTCATATTAAACTCCCCAAACAATTGGACAATATCCTTGATTAACAATCCTTATGGTTTTGAGATTAAAGAAATATTTGTATTATGGATAATGTAGTATATTTATGGTATACTTACTTGCTTATTTTTTCCTTATAATTTGCAATGATTATTCTTCCTAAATTGAAACTTTACTACAACTTCTTTAGATGTCTAGCATGGGTAAAGACAACCAATCAAAACAATTTTTAAACCATAAGAAAACTATTTTTAGATTAAAAAACTATATTTTAACATATGCTATTCATTGAGATGAACAAGTCCTGAAAGGACCTCAAGATTTATATTGAGGTTTTGAATGTTATATTAATAATACAAAATAATTTCAAAATATCTTATTCATACATTACCTTTTGTCACACTAGCCATTGGATTTCTTTCACTGCTGATTGTATCAGTCCTTGGAGTGAAGTTAGTGAGGTACAGTGTGCAACCATACAGAACCATTTATTGTGATCAAAACTATTTTGTGTTTTAAAGTCAATTCAGGCACAACATTTGGTTAAATGTTCCTTAGGTGATCTAGAATTGTCCCATTCATTAATTAATAAATACATTAAATGGGAATCAATGTAACTTCATGTATCAGAGGGGTAGTCGTGTTAGTCTGGATCTGCAAAAGCAGATCGTGCTCCAATACATCTGTTAGTCTGTAAGGTGCCACAGGACTCCTTGTTGCTTTTGTAACTTCATGAACACCCAGTAGGTTTAAAGACCTGTTTCTCACTCCTGATGTTGCTCACTCTGATCCTTGTCCTCATGACAGGTTGTATCATTTTCCATATAATCACAGATCTAATGGAAAGTGTGGAGTTGACAATTTGCAATGTAAAACGTGCATTGAAACTTTATGCTGCCCTTTTAGAGACAAAAAGCCCCAAAGATGTGAGGTATTACTGAACAAAGAGTATTGCTGACCAAGGGAAGAGAATACAAGAGGTACTGTGGAGGGCTTGGTTGGAAATAGCTTGTCTGGTCTTCGGGCTTACTTGGATTGGTCTTCGGGCTTACTTGGGTTGAGCGTCCTGACAGAGCCCAACAATCACATGGGGAATGAAAACACAGATGCACAAATAGGCTTTCCCAAATAGAAAAAAGTATAGGTTTGACAAATACTGTAGTCAGTAGGAGGACCAGATAACAAATGTGAAAAAACAGAACGGGGTAGAGAGTAATAACTGCCTATATAAGGAAAAGCTTGAAAGTGTCCCTATAAAATCAAGGCATCTGGTCACCATAGTGGTCAGCCATCTTTTGGGCCAGTCCACAGTGGATGCGTTAAAAGATTCTTTTCATGTTCTGCTGCATGATAAATGCCAGAGAATTTTTATGTAGACATCCTATGTCTGAATGAACACCACAGAAAAAAATTTGATCGGAGGGGTTTCAGATTGTTGGTTTTATTGAAATATTATTGTGTTTTCGAATGTGAGGTACACAAATTATTTCCTTATCACTGACATTTTAAAAACAAAATTATTTTGCCAAATAGTGAATAGAAATTGTTTGTTTGTTGAGATATGTTGAAATATTTCTAGCACTGTGTGAAGCATTCGCTGTATTTATGACATTGAAAGTTGTTCTGTGAAATCTGACAAGTTGCTCCACACAAAATAGTATTTATTTTAATAAAAAAATACAGCCTTAATCATGCCTCATGATTAGAATATATTTGTAGTTACAGCTAGGTAATTTTTAATACACTACCAATGTCATGCAAATGCAGTATATTCATAGTAAACTATTTCTAATGTAAGGGAGAAAAATCAACCCATGTTAAAGAAGGATTCATTGGGCAAACCAAAGCAATTATATTTGAAACATAAAGCAACAGGATGTCCTTACGCCTTTATTAGCTATTAAAAATGTAATTGCACATCTAAAAAGAACATTGAATATTTTAAAAATTAAGCATTAGTAATATTTGCTTTATGGACTGATACACTGTATATGGCAAGAACAGAAGATACAGAAACAAAGGTATGTTTCTTGTATACTTCTAAGGAAGATATATTTAATGGGCTATAATAGCCATCTGCTGCTTGGGCACAGTTTTCCCTGAGTGCAGCGGATATTGTATGGGCAACCAACTGCAGCATTTGGCCCATTACTTGCCTTACTTGTGTATATTTCACAATGTTCTGTTACCATCAATCAGGTATTAATGTGTTAAATATATTAAGTTGAGTATTTTTTTAAAAATCTGCAGAATCCCTTTCTTGAATGGCATTTTATTTATCTAAGCATATATGGAGCTGAAAAAATTGTGATTAGTGTAACTTCATTAGTTTTAGCTTTTTCTTTTCCAATTGGCACCTGGGTTTGTCTGTTTTGACCAGCTGGAGATAGCTTTGGATTTTCCTTGGTTGCCAGTCAGCCACCTCTTTATTCTGCAGTGTTTAATTATCTTGTTTATGATGTGAACAAAAAGATCATAATCACAACATGCTGATTAGAGAAAACCATGGATTTCCATGTTAGAGTTAATAATAGAACACCAAAAATAAATAAATGCATTTATATTTCTTTTCTTAGGATATGTCAGCTCGAGGATCATCTTCACAGCTTCCTAAAACTTTTGATCCTGAGCCCGTAGCTAAATATGGCACGCTGGATGTGACTTTTGACTATGACTCACAAGAACAGAAACTTCTAGTAACAGTGACAGCTGTCACAGATATCCCAACATATAACAGGACAGGTGGAAATTCATGGCAAGTACATCTAGTTCTTCTACCTATAAAGAAACAGAGAGCAAAAACCAGCATCCAACGGGGACCATGCCCTGTCTTCACAGAGACATTCAAATTTAATCATGTTGAGTCTGAGATGATTGGGAATTATGCTGTTCGCTTTAGACTGTACAGTGTACGACGCATGAAAAAAGAGAGGATTGTTGGGGAAAAGATTTTTTACTTAACCAAATTGAATCTTCAAGGGAAGATGTCAGTACCAGTGATAATGGAGCCTTCTTACAGTTTTTCTGTGAGTATTGCACAAAGCAGAATGAGTATGTGATTATATAAATTGTCCTGATTATTAGGAATAGTTTATGTATTTATAGAGACAACATTCCACTGACTCTTCCCATCTCCATTGTCATGCGCACTTTATGCAAAATAATTGTCTGGGGAAGGAAGGTCATTACAGCTCAAAGATCCAATTAGCTACTGCTAGGTCAATTTATTAATCATGTGTGAAAGCTGCCTATACTTTTTCATTTTGATTGCTTTGGTATTTCCACTATACAAATATTATAATTGTAGGAAGGAGTTAAAAATATTATATTAATTTGAGATTAGTTTTACAGCTTCAGTTTATCAAACTGTTAACCATTGTGCTTTCATTTTTAAAAATCTCTATTAGTCGGTGATTTTTGTCTTCCGTAATAAAGTCCAGTTTGTGATAGAATATCCATGCTTTGCTTTCCCAGGAACAATAGGGAACCTGAAGGTGCTGAAGCCCTTATTTTAATTACTTCAGAGGACAAACAAAATAAAGTGTTGTTAAACTGGTTTTTAGTCATGTTAAGCTATATAGGACAATAATCTGTTGGGATTTGAAACTAAGATCAGCTAAAAGTGTAATATGAAGTCCTGGGGATGAAACAGGTGATATAAAAGGACTTTATCATCTCCTATTTTTTATGATTCTCTAAGAAATACAAGGGAATCCTGGGTAGTGCTTTCTGGGGACAAATTCTGATCATATGCCTTAAAGTGAACTTTCATACTATTGAAGTGCTTAGTACTAGAGTGATTTTTTTCTTGTTCTTGGAGATCCTGCAACAATGATATGTATTTTGCAACATTTTTGTGTCAGTGAAAATTGTGCTGAGCTTGAGTTCCTTCCCCTCCCTCCATGCCCTTTGGATGTCAACAAAAGCTTTATTTTGCTAAAGTTTTGAGCTCTAAGATGACATGGGCTTGGTCACGTGGCTGAAATTCTGATTAAGGGTCTGATTCAAAGCTTATGGAAGTGAGTGGATCAAGCCCTATATGATCATAAATCTGGTACTCATCAGAAGTAATTTTGAATTATTTTCTAAAACCAGTCTACACTTATTGGTAGATCGGCATTGCTGTGATCAGTGCAGCAGTGTTGAGTTACTGGGTCTGGTGAAGATCCACTAAGTCAATGGCTCTTATACTCCAGCTCTCTGAGAAGAGTGGGGTAAGTGGGCAGGAGAGCATCTCCTGTTGGCACAGCATTCTGCAGACACCAAGGTAAGTCAACGTAAGCTACATTGACTTCAGTCATATTATTTGTGTAATTGAAGTAGCATAACTTAGGTCAACTTATCACAGTTGTGTAGGCCAGCCCTTAGCAGGGAACTGGAGGTATGCCTCTGAGAGATATCAGAGATGATACTGAGATTCCCATCCTCTAGAGAAAATAGATATGTGTGTCAGTCTTCCAGTCTTCCCCTTCCTTCTTCGCTAAAAGATAATGCCAGGGATGAGGGAAATGGAGATTATTGGTGGTAGGTCAAAGGATCTTGTACATAGCCTGTTGCAGGTGAATGAATTGCATAGAATGGAAGGCCAAATGACCTGCCAGAAGCATTCATGTTTGGATAGTTTGAATAAGAATTCATACTTCTGGACTTATGTGAACCAGTTGCCAAATCTTTTGAAGTCCTTATTTTGATATTCACAATGTGTTTTATATATAGTTTTTCAACGGGAAGGCTGATTTACTTCATGTTCTGAAACAGCAAGTAGTCCTGTGGCACCTTAGAAACTAACAGAATCATGGGTTTTTATGGGTAAAAGTTACTTCATTAGATGAATTGGAATAGAAATAATAAAACACAAGATATGTATCTATATACCAGCACAAATATGTGTTGATTGTAGGACCTGTGTTAGTGTGGCTAATTAAAAGTGTACATGATTCCACAGTAAAGTTAAAGCTTGCATTTTGTTATTGTTCTTGTGACCCTAAAAGCAGGGCTAAAATTACTTAACAGAGAAAAGGAGAGGATTGTTTTAATTTGGGTAGCTACAACTGATTAGGGAAATTATAAATCTTATACTTACATGGCTTCTGAATTTAAAACCAAATTTATCTTATGTTAGTGTTAGTCTGTTTTGTTGCTAAATGCTAAGACCAGGTCTACACTACACCTGGAAGATTGGCTTAAGGAACGCAACTCGAGCTACAGAGAATATATAGCTAGAGTTGGCTTATCTTAAGCCGAGTTTGGCGCCTCCACACTGTGGAAGGTTTGCTCCCATCCGGTTCCCTTATTCCTTACGGTTGCAAAGAGTACCGATACCGGTCGGAACTGCCCTTAGTATTCAATTTACAGGGCTATACTAGACCTGCTAAATTGAATGCCAAGACGTCGATTTCTGGCACGGCGAGGGAAGACATTCCCTACCTGTATTTGACTGATTCTTTGTACATACAGATATTTCCCATGTAGGCAACAGTAGCTACCTTCCCCGCTTTGGTTCTCATTATTTTAATTGTGTATATCTAAGATATTTTTATATATTAAATATATTTTAAAATTAAAATATATTTATATTTGTAATATTACACGTGTGTCACTGAACTTTTCCAACTTCACTGAAACATCTGTAATAATCAAGAAGTTGATAATATTTGCTGCTGCCTGATAATATATTAATATATTATTATTTGCTAGTAATCAGTCTGGAAAAAGGACATGTCCTGCATAAGTCTCATGAAGCATAGCTTCACTTCCACCTTTAAAAATACTTTCAAGGGTTCCTAGCAGGAGACCAAGCCAATGGGTTAGTTCAACTCTGCACCTGCCCCACAGACACATACAGTTGCCATTGTGTCCCATGGCAACCTTCCCCACTTCAGGCACATGCAGGTATAGACCAATGCAGGCTTTGGTATGCAAGGAGGGAGGATATTTTACCTTGGGTGAGGAGCAGGGCTTTTGAGGTTATGTTTTATCCATAATTGAAGTCTAGCTACATTATTGTGTTCCTTATATATAATGCAGTACCTCGTAGAATCCCGGGGTGGGCAGAGACCTCAGGAGGTCATCGAGTACAGCTCCCTACCCAAAGCAGGACCAACCCAACTAAATCAGCCAAGTCAGTGCTTTGTCAAGTCGAGACTTAAAAACCTGTAGGGATGGAGATTCCACCACCTCCCTAGGTAACCCATTCCAGTGCTATGGGGAAATAGTTTTTCTTTTCGGAGTGTTTTTGTGCGGGCTCGGCATCCCTGCGCTTATAATTGGAACTTTTTAGCAGTAGTACTCCTGGGTGCCAGCACGCATGCACAGTGCCACTCACGCGTAGCGAGTGTACCAATGTGAGCGCACCGTCAACTGTCCCCCAGTTCCTTCTCAACCACTCCAGGCTTGGTCAGAACCCAGCAGCTCCCCGTTTTTCCTCTCAGATAAGCTAGTTATTAAAGGAGTTGTTACTGTTTTCCCCCTAGTTTCTTTGGGTGCCTTTTTCTTCCCTTTTTCTCATTAAAAAAAAAGGCTTCAACCAATTAGAGACAAAGAGCCAAAATAGCATTGGATAGAGTGCAAAAAGCCATGTATTATATATTTATAAAATATAGATAGATATAGTACACAAAATGTAGTGATAATAATAACATTACAGGACATTTTGGACAAAAACCCATAAAAAAGTCTCTAGTCACTTAAAAAATTCACGGCCAGTCCATAGATCTTCAGAGAACTTGACAAGGAACAAACATCAACATAGAATCATAGAACACTAGAACTGGAAGGGACCTGGTCATCGAGTCCAGTCCCCTGCCCTCACAGCAGGACCAAGCACTGTCTAGTCCAGGGCTGGCCAATCTGTGCCCACCTTTTTCTCCTATTCTTCCCCAATTAGTTGAATTGTCATACCAGGCTCTCCTGGATTTAAGAGATGCCTGACCTGCAGAATGTCCATCCCAATATCGGATGGGCAATGCTTAGCTCAGGAGCATTCTTCACACAGCTGCCATCACTGTAAAAAGTTGTCCTCCAGGTCCCTCAAGGCCAGGGATCTACAACTGAAGCTCCTGACCATGAAGAAGATGGTGAGACCAGCTTTGGAACTGATGCCCCAAGCCTCTCCACTGTGTATGTCCCCCACAGCGGTTTTGGACCAGGATTCAGTGGCACCACAGGATCCTCCAGCCAAGAAAACTTTGAAGAGGAATCACTACTTTCCTACTGCCGAAAGACCTGCTAAAAAGATATCCCCCCAGCAGATGCCTTCCTCAGCACCAAAAGTGCGGTCTCCGGGGGATGCAGAGGTACCAGATAAGTCCAGCGTAGACAAGTCCCAAGGACCTTTGCCAACCAGGGAAGCGTGCCCTGCAGTCTTGGCACAGAAGCCGAAAAGGACTCCATCTGCACTGTTGGTACTGATGACATCAGTAACTTTGGCTGGCAGAGAGCTGGTAGGGAAGCAAGACTATGGAGAAAAACAATTGAAGACAGTTGGCAGTTTTTCAAGGGATATTATTAAGGGCCCCAGAGTAAGCTATTCTGCTGCATAGGAAAGATCGAAAGTATGTCAAAAGACTGTCTTGGCTTACCCAGGAAATCTTGCATGATCTAAAAAGCAAAAAGGAGTCATATAAAAAGTGGGAACTAGGACAAATTACAAAGGATTAATATAAGCAAACAATACAGGTATGCAGGGGCAAAATGAGAAAGGCAAGAGCACAAAACAAGCTCAAACCAGCTACAGACATAAAAGGTAACAAGAAGGCTTTCTATAAATATATTAGAAGCAAGAGGAAGACCAAGGACAGGGTAGGTCCATTGCTCAGTGAAGGGGGAGAAACAATAGCAGGAAACTTGGAAATGGCAGAGGTGCTTAATGACTTATTTGTTTCACTCTTCACCAAGAAGTCTGATGCTGAAGGAATGCCTAACATAGTGAATGCTAGTGGGAACAGGGTAGGTTTAGAACATAAAATAAAAAAAGAACAAGTTAAAAATCACTTTGAAAAGTTAGATGTCTGCAAGTCACCAGGGT